AATTACCACGCGTAAATCCTCTACGTCAGGTTGTTCATATTCTATTGTATAAACAGCTAGAAAATAATGACTTTCCATAATAGAAATATGACAAAAAAATATTAGGAGTGGAGAAACGAATGTATATGTCAAAATTAGAGCAAAATTCTACAAATATATTTAAATCTAGATAGATATATATATTTATATAAGCAGTGTTGTACACTTGTGTGCCTGTTTCCATATAGCTTGTAAGCCATTATGAAACATAATATGAATAAAGCATTTTATTAATTAAATTCTACAAAGTCAATTGCATACATACGTACGTACGCGCGTATTGTCAAAATGTGATTATTAGATTTGTATCACACTTAATTACGTATTTGCTGCATGCCTTTATTGTTGAAGCTGTGAGTCACGGTTTGTTTAGGTAACATAGCTGTAACAGTTGCCCAAGTCGACCCGCGTCTATCTCAGACTTTAAATTTGGATAAATAGATCTCAAAAATAATAAGTGTAGAAAATAATGACTTTACATATTGATCGAATAACAGTTCTCTACAAAATGGTTAACATCTCCAATAACCGTTATACTTGATTTAAAATTTAATTGGACTTATTGATACGGATCTAATGGGATAATATTTAGTATTAATAAAAATTGATTAGTTAATGTCACGGAAACAAAACAGTCCATATGATTTTCCAAATTTAGAAGTTGTTACCAGTTATGCGCAAATTGGCTAATACAAACATTCATTATGAATTAATTTAGATAGTTGTAGCCTATATGTCACAGGAACAGTTCCATTTGATTTTCCAAATTTAGAAATTGACAGCAGTTTATATGCACGCACATTATCAAGTATTCATTATGAAATTGATTAATTTAGAATACGTACTGTCTATCGCTATATTAAATTTAATGTCATGATTTCCAAATTTAGAAGTGTATACAATTATGCACAAATTGATAATACATCAAACATTCATTATAAAATTGATTAATTTAGAACAGATATAGTCTACATAAATTTAATGTCACGATAATGAAACAGTTCTATTTAGGTTGTTAAATTTACGTTATGCACAAATTAACTGACATTCATTATGAAATTGACTAATTTAGAATACGTATATTAGATGTAATGTCACAGTAACAAACCAGTTCTATTATTCTTCTAATTCGAAGTGGATAACAACAAGTTGACTAATACATCAAACCTTCATTATGAAATGGATTAATTTAGAATATATGTAATTTAATGCCACAATAATGAAACAGTTCCATTTATTCTCCTAATATTAATACGTTGCATTTTATCATGGGTACAAAAGAAATCAGCATAAACGTAAGACACAATGCATTAATATGGTTAAACTTAGAAAATAAACAATGATTAATGTTTGATTTAAATTCGTAAACTGAATAATATTTATACATATTCTTTATTAATTACAGTCAGATGCATTTTCACAAAGTTTAGAATTAAGGTTTCTTATATATACTACTGACTATTAGAAAAACGTAGTAATATCTGCACTATTGTATATCGATATAAATTATAATCACAAAGTGATTTGACAGTGTTAAGCATGAATAATATTTACTTCGTGATACTATATTTAAATAAGCTCACTTTTAACAATTACAAAATTATATATATATATTAGATATGTCTTTATTTGTTTCTTAAAATCAGTTCGCTTGTAATAAAATGGAAGTTGAAGAAAATCAATCCAATTTAAATATTTATAATCATAAAATTATCTTAGAAAATCAAGAAAAATTTACATGGCAGTTTACAAACCATGAGGAGAGATTTAAAAAATTTCGACAATTTTATAACAATCAACAATATTTACAATTTTTAGATAAATTGCAATCTTTCTCAAGTACACAGCAGCAATTCTTATTAGAACAACAAAATTTATTACAACAACCTTTACAACGACAAGAACAAAACTTATTACAAGAACAACAACTTTCACAAGAACAATTACAGCAACATTCTTTCCAACAAGAACAAAAAAATTTATTACAACAATCTTTACAACCACAAGAACAACAAAATTTACAAGAACGACCTTTACAACCACAAGAACAACAAAATTTACAAGAACGACCTTTACAACCACAAGAACAACAAATTTTACAAGAACGACCTTTACAACCACAAGAACAACAAAATTTACAAGAACGACCTTTACAACAACAAGGACAGCAGCATTTACAACACCAGGATAATTTACAACACCAGGATAATTTACAACACCAGGATAATTTACAACACCATGATAATTTACAACACCAGAATTTACAACACCAGAATAATTTACAACACCATGATAATTTACAACACCAGAATTTACAACACCAGGATAATTTACAACACCAGAATTTACAACACCCGCAGAATTTAGAACACCAGCAAAATTTACAAAACCAGCAAAATTTACAACACCAGGATAATTTACAACACCAGAATTTACAACATCAGCAGAATTTAGAACACCAGCAAAATTTACAACACCAGCATAATTTACAACACCAGAATTTACAACACCCGCAGAATTTACAACACCAGAATTTACAACAACACCAGCATAATTTACAACACCAGAATTTACAACACCCGCAGAATTTACAACACCAGAATTTACAACACCCGCAGAATTTACAACACCAGCAGAATTTACAAGAACAACTTTTATCACAAAGTCAACAACATTTAGATTGGGACCAACTACTTATAGAACAAATACAACAACTGAAAAATCACTTGCAACAACAATTGCAATATCCTTTAGAACTGCAGAAAGATCTTTTGCAAAGGCAAGAAGAATTTTTACAAAATATCCGGCAATTTCCAAAACAGCTATGCGATACCTTAATTTATCAACAAACTACACAACTTACACAACTAGAACAAGATATCATAAAAGCCTTACAATCTTTCGATAAAATCTTAACGGATCAACAACAATTCTTAAGTGAACAACAACAGCTTATACGAGGGAAGCAAATTTATGTAAAAGAACAAATCCCTAAAGCCAACTGTTTTGACTTTGAAAATGACTATGTAATTATTAGTAAAGATGTTTACAATGCTCATATTCAAAGATATCAAGATCCTTCTTACTTACCATGTAGTCTCCTAAAATCTATTATTCTCACTCCTAATAACGCTAATAACGCTAATAACGCTAATAACGCTAATGATGTGATAAATTCAAGAAATTTCGGTTTTGGATTGTGGTCTTGGCCAAATTCTAATTCTAATCAGTCTAATCAGTCTAATCAGCTTCAAGATCTTCAATCAAAAAATAAATCACTTGATAGTAAATGTCAAAAACTTCGAACTGATTATCAAAAACTTCGAACTGACTATCAAAATCTTAAATCTAACTATCAATTTATTGAGATAAATTATCAAAAACTTAAAACAAATTCTCAAAATGAACGTGATGATTTATTAAAAAGGCTAAATATTTTGGAAAAAGCTAATGATGATTTAAAAAAAGAAGCTAGAAAGTTTCAATTGGCCTTGGGTAATGCAACAAGTTCTCACTTAGAAACTCATGAGTCTGATAGCGCCGGTCAATTATCAAATGATATTCGTATTTTACATAACCGTTTAGAAAAATTTTGTGGTCTAAAAAGAGGAATTGAAATTAATGAATCGGAAGTAAAGGCTCTCTTAGAAAAATTTGGTTGCAAATTAAACGGTGAAATACGAAATAATAAAATTTTGATTTCGGGTTTATTAGAACGACTTGTGATTGAAACCATCATTAATAAAAGTTGTGAATATTTTAATGAGAATAATACCGATAATAACGATAATAAGGATGACAAACAAGATGATGATCAAAAATTAGAAGCAAAAATTGTTAATACAACAGAACAGTTATTGCCGCTGATAGATTTGGTTCCAGAGAATCGCGCTGGGAATGATGAAGTAAGCAAAGCTGCATCAACTAAATTACGGCGACAAATTTACAGCGTTCTTGGAAATCGTGGATTTTGTAACATTAAAGAAGATAAGGAACATCAATTAATTGCAAAATTGCGAGCTGAGGTCGTAGAGCTGATGAATCGTTATCGTACATTTAAGAATCCACAAAAATTGTTAGAAAACGAAGAAATGATAGATGAGATCGTTAGACAAGTTGTTAATATATTTCTGTTTAGACTAAAAGTACAAGAACCCATCGCCCATTGGAAATTTTTTGATAACAAGACAAGCATCAATACTATTATGATGGAAGCGTCTTTAGATAATGCTGATCTTGAAAATGTATATGTTGATGTTTGTTCATTTCCGGTAATTGGGTCTAATCTTTGTGAAGCCGATGAAGAAAATAAAAATTTGAAAGTAATCTTTCAAGCTCAAATTATTCCCACTACTTGCGAATAGTGGAATGTTTCTCTCTTATTATTGTTATTTTATTAACATCTTTATTTAAATTTAATAAATATATTGTTTTAATTTAACAAAATAAACAGACTAAATTAACAATTTAGGTTTTTAAAATCAACTTTGAGTTATATCTTTTAAAAATGTAGCAAGATGTAAATTATACTATGCATATGTGACATTACAGTTTAGTTTTGTTAGTCGTCTAATACTATCAGACAAGTTCAATCACATGTCTACTTCGAAGAAAACTCAAAGATTTGCATAAGAAACCTTCCTAAGTAAATTTACTATCTAATCTACTAAAGTTTAATCAAAGGCTAAACACTAACCCTTGATATATCTGCCTATAATTTCTTAAAGTAGGTTATGTTTGTCTAATTTATTGCTTTTGAAATCGATAATTAAATTTTAAACCGTCAAAACAAATCTCAAATCGAAATTAGAATGATGATTAATTTTTATTATTTCCTTATTATAGCACTATATTATTTTGTTACATAAATCACAATACTATAAAGTGTAAATATTCTGCGTTATTTTAAATTCTACCTCATTATTAATTGACCCAAGCCATGTACATTATTTATTAGGGTGTCTCATGCATATCTAGTTACTACTCAAGATTTACCTAAATACAGGAAAATAATTTTCCTTTTTAAAAATTTAGATCGTATATAAATATAAAGTTTTTATACTTGCCGTATATCTTCAAAATAAGCAACCGTAATTTTACATATTTTTTGAGTCAAAATGAAGAGTTTGCTTATATTCAGAAATAATTTTATTAGTAAACATAACCTTTGCCAAATTTTCAGTTTCAAAATCTAGAGGTTGCTTATATTCGGAGATATACGGTATTCATTTTAACTTCAGTTCTTAAGTAATATTAATTAACTATTTCAATTTGATATATTCCGTTAAAATTGTTATAGTCTGCAAATTTTGGATACACGTCTTCCTGCCAATTATAATTAGTTTTTTTCTTTAATAAAAGTTATTAAAAGTTGAAAGTGCTGCATGCCAAGAAATTTTTGATGATGATGCATAATGGACAGCACTATAACATTATTGGTGCCTCAAATCTCTATCTCAATTTGAAATCCAATCTATCAAGAATGCAATTATTATTGCTAAATCAGATGACAAATGACTTTATTAAAACACAATGAAAAGCATATGGGAATCTGCTCACTATCATTAGAGGCCCAACCTACTATAACTTAAATATTACATCTACAAAGCAAACAATGATATTCGAATTAACTGGCTATAAACCTACTCTTAACGTATTGAAACTACTATGCCTGGGAGCTTGTCAACGAAGTGACAGGGCGATCATTATTGTGAGATCAGATGACTTTATCACAGTCACATGAAAGTT